TGCTTGCACACCGTGAAGAGCTCTGTTTCTCAATCTGCCCCCACAGTGAGTAGTGGGAGGGGACACAGCCAGGACAGCTGGCCCCAACTGGCAAAAGGGATATTCCATACCATATGATGTTATGCTTAGCAATAAAATCTGAGTTCTTTGAAAATAGCCATTGCTCAGACACTGGCTGAACATGTCTGCTGGTGGGAGGTGGTGAGTGAGTGCCTTTGCATCACTTGTTTTCTTTTTATTTACTTTGCTTATTAAACTTTTTTATCTCAACCCACGAGTTCTCTTGCTTTTGCCCTTCCAATTCTCTCACCCATCATGCTGGGGGACAGTGAGTGAGGAACTGAGCAGGGGGCTTAGCTGTTGGTCAGGGTCAAAACACCACAGTGAGTAATGAGTAAGTGATGTTCTTGGTCCAGAAAATAACTTTAGAGGCACACAGGTTAAGCCATGTTAACCAAACAGGCAAGAACTGAAATACTGCCTGGAGATGAATTTGTCAGGATTACACATTACCACTATTTTCAGCAGAGATTTTGAAATCTGGAAAACAAGAGACTGGGAGGCTGAGACAGTAGTGAAAAACACGCTGGACAGTGGGACACGGAAGGAGACAGGTCCTAACTTGCATCGCCTTTTACAGAAGGGTGGCTGTATTGATGCTATGCATCAATGTCCTCTGCTGTCCAACCAAAAGGACACTAAGACCAGCGATTCTCACTTCAGTTTTGCCAAGTACCCTACCAACTGCAGTTCCCCATATTCTACAATCCTGTGCCATGGCAGGCTGCATCTGTGCCACCAAGAATGTCTTGCATCCATGTATATGGTTGTAGGACTGACGAGTTTCCATTTTCAGGGATTAATCCCACAGCCTGCCCTATCTTTTAGGTGGTTGCACTGCTTGAAGGAGAACATCACAACCCAGAGGAGAACGAAACAAGAAATAAGGGAGAACACCACATGTGCTTCAAAAGATGGGAGTTGGAGTTTAAAAAAGGGGTGATGGTGAGGAAAACAATGAGGGAAGATGCCTTCTCCTAGCCAGAGAGGATGGAGCTTAAAAAGGGATCAGATGCCAGCTAAGGGCCATGAAAAATAGATTCTGCTGGGTTAATGAACATTTTCCAAAGGAAGTCAGCAAACAGCTAGAGGGCCCTTCCACATTGATCAAAATACCTAAGTATCACTAAGCATATGATCTCTTTTTAAGCTTTATGTCCACATCTGAGGGCAAGTAGAAGAAAGAATTTGATTTCATCATAAACCCAAGGTCATTACAGATACTGCTCAGGGAATGATCTGCAAGGGATGCTCATGTGTGGTGACTCTAAGCTACAGGTCCAGAACCTGCTCCTTTAGCTTAATCTCCTCAGTGCAGCTATAGGAGGTCCTACTTTAATCCTTCATGGCCTAAGCAGAAAATCATATTGAAATAATGGACTAAATGTGGATATTTAAGTTAGGTGTCATGGAAGAAAATCCTTTCTATTGGCAAGGACAGCAAAATAACCTGGAACAGGCTGCCTAAGGCAATGTGAAGGCTAGACAAGTATCTGCCAGGCGTGGCACTGTCTCTGGTCAGGAGGATAGGTGAGCCTCAGTTCAGTTTTCTGTTACTCAATGAGTGACAAAAACAGCAGATGCAAACACTTTTTAATAGCCCCTCCCCTCAAGCCAGAGGATGTGTGATTTCTTTATTTCTTTCACATCCTCTTTTATTCTTTCTCAAGGTTCATATGCTTAGGAGAAGAAACTGTCCTTTCAATCAGGCCTGTGAATGAAGATACATTTGCAGAGCTGTAAAAACACACCTGAAGATCCTGTTAGTCGCACAGAACAAAATGTGGATGTTTGCCCAGGTGGACATTTGCTCAGCCCAGCACATAGGACTATCTACAACAGTGATCCAGGGAGCGCTGAGGCCTATAAATCATCAGGTGGTCCACAAGCCCATAGCACATGTATGACCAAGCAAATGCACATCCACTGGACACTGCAGCAACACTTTGCCGGTGGTGCTTGAACTGCCCTCGCACTGCCTGCACACCCTCCCGGCTTTGACTGGTTCTCTGAGAATAAGCAGCAGAAAAGCACTGGCCCAAAGCTCCCCTGAGGATGGCTCCATCCATCCTCATCAGGAGAATGAAAAGAGCAGTGCGTGAGGGAGAGGCAGAGAACAGAGGTTTCTCTGTTTCTTTGTATTTAAGACACAAAGGGAAGTGCAGGACTGGATGGTAATCTGGGACAGACAGCCACGGTTTCACAGGAGGTGACTGTTTTGTGATACCCCTTGTGGACTACACAACTGTCGACAATTCAGGAGACCTGGAGATCCTGTCTGGACTTCCTCCCTGTTCCCTAGCACAGAAAGACAAAACAGCAACTGAAGACTGCCGAAGTTAACAACCAGGTGAACAGTGTAGGGGACAGACGTCAGATTTGTGGATTGTGTTGTTAAGAGAAAGTGACCTCTTGATAGGGAACGAATGCCTGCTCTGTCAGCCAGGCTGGCTAGGTGAGTCTGATTAAGTAAGCAACCAAAAGCATGTCCAGTACAAAACTATGATATCAAGAACAACAATAACCAAAGCAGAGGTTGTGAGATGACCCTTTTCAGTTGTAATTCTATGTTAATTACAAGCATCTGAAATAATGGATAAACTCTCTGCCTGCAGAATAGCAATGCAAAATAATACTTCAGAAAAGTAGTAGCTAGATTTAGATTATTAGAATATTAAAAAAACCCTACTTGTAGCAAATTCAAGAAGTCCAAATGGAAGAGGGGAGTTAACAGGCCCTGTATGTCACAAATGACGTCTGTCTGAGCTACTGACAACTTGGAAGTAAGTAATCATGCATATGTATCAATCAAGATACATCCGAGATGGGGTATTAGTTGGTATCTGTTGCAGACCATTGGAATCACTGCAGAGCACAAGATGACTGGTTTCTTCAATACCTATATACAACAACTATAAAAACAACCCCTTTTATATTGAATGGCCTCAGGGCCATTCAATATGAACAACTTATGCTGTTCATGTTTCATGTCTCACTAGAACATGACTGTACTTTCCAAAAGGCTATGAATGACAAGTTACTAACTTCCAACGTAAAGGGAAGATGAGCCTTCCAAAGCCTGCGACCTAAAGCTCTTGTCAATTAGCTAAATGAGTCATATACAATATACATAATACAATATCATACAATACTCTCCTTGCACCATCAAAGGGAATGGAGAATTCAGAAGCAGTTCACAGCATCATGACAACAACGTGAAGACCTTGTGGGATGTAGCTAAACTCCACCACATACACCTAAACCCTACAGTGGTCACCCTGCCACGTCATATGCAGCAGGACCTGTTGACTTGCTCCCTGTCCAGCCAGGGACAGCCACAGGCAGGAGCTGCAGTGCCCACAACTTACCACTGGTCCTACGTTGTAGCTACTGCTGCCCATGACTCATACATGGTTTAGCAGAGGAGCCAGACAACCCCTGCTTTAGACCTCCATAGGAAGGAAACGATCACAAACCAGAGAGTTACCGGTTTAGACTGCAAAGGACCAACACTTTCTGTGCAAATAACTAACATTGTCTGCAATCAAATCTAGACTAGTAAAATTTTATGCAAAATATGAACATATGCTCTTCATAGATACATAAATTGAAATCACAGTGCATGCTTTCTGGGAGGCAATTTCACAAAGCTATAGCAAACAGGAGTTAAATCAGGCTGAAGACAGAACGTATGGAAAGTTGCAGACATCTGTGAATGGTTTAAGGTATTTCCTACAATGTTACAGCCATGAAAAGAAGACTGGGCTAGATAAAAATAACACACAACGAAAAAACCCAACAGCTGGGTTTACCAGGGAAGTGAAAAAACATATGAAGTGTTATATACAAAACCAACACATGAAGGGGGAAAGGGGAAAAGATAATATTGAGTAAAAATAGCTAAAATAAAGGTTATATAGAGGAAGCAAGAAGATATCAGGAAAAAAATTAAGACAGATAGAATCAGATAAGTTATTTTTTATTTTCTAAGCAGACTATGAAAGAAGAATCCTCAACAATAAAAGTGGTAGAATCATTCATAACAATACAACAGCAGTAGAAGTTATTCAATAAATATTTCTGATTAGCACACAGATAAAAGGTCAGGGATGAGAGGGGATGTTAAGCAGCAGATACACAAATCTAGGTGTTTCAGATTATTTGCTAAAAGAAATCTGGCTCAGAAGGTTTTAGAGACCTAGCCTTGGAGCTGCTACTACTGCATCTAAAGTGGTTCTGAGCCCCTGGGGAAGGACCATGGGTAGGAGGAAGGGCTGCATGTTGGGCCACTGTTTAATAACGGTATAAAGAAGGGAATCAACTTGGCTTTAAGGAAAACAGATCCTGTCAAACTAATCTGATGTAATTTCTTGCAAAAATTACAAGTTCACTTGATGACGGCAGCTTTGTTGACAGTATTACAAGTCTAAGTCAAGTGACTTGTTCTGTAGAACATCATCCTGAAGAAATTGAATGCTTTGAAGCCTGTATGGAGTGTGCTCCATCTGTACATGGAAAGCAGGACTCCATAGATGGGGAGTACCATATAAGGTCAGGCAAAAACCTCAAAATATTTGTACTGAAATAACTTCTGAGTCCACAATCATATTAAATGTATTTAAAAGTTGATAAATGAAGGAAGCCGAAGTGTAACTGTAAATGGGAAACTACTTATTAGCAAACGAATGGGTTCTTTTTAGGTTCCCACAGGTATTGGTGATCATCCCTTTACTATTTAATAACCTTCTCAGTGACCTGGATTAAAGTTAAGTCATTATGGTTAGATACGAGACTGGGGACAGCAAAAAACAAGCCATGAAAGGACAGGCCTGACACAGAGCAATTGGGGTCTGTAGAAATATGGGAGAAACCAGTTTAGGTGTCAATATGGCCAGGTGCAGAATCCCCTTACTAGACTAAAGAATACAGGCCATACTTACAGGATGAGAGGGAGAGAGAGGACTCTATCCTCCAAAGCAGAGACTGAATATGAGACCAGGGGTCCTGGGAGGCAATCAGCTCAACATGAATTCCCCACGCAAGCCTGTGGCCAAAACGGCTAATGCGAGCCTCAGCTGTACAAAGAAATGAAAATCAAAAGATGAGTAGGTAGGTTACAGTGACGCTGTATTTGGCTCTCATTCCTCTGCTCTGTGAATAATGTATCAAGTTCTGCTGCACCATTTTTCAAATAAAGTGTTGGAAAAACTGTAAGCGTGTTTAGGGAGAGAGATTGAAGAACGGAAAACACTGGGTAGCAGAAGGCTTTGTTATACACAAAAAGCTCAAAGGGAATTTTGTTATTTTGTTCACAGTACAGGAATATTCATATGAGGAATAAAGTTGATAACAGTGGGTTCTAATGTAGCAACAGTGGAAAACTCATTTGGAACTGGAAACTAATCCAATTCAGACTGTGAACAGGCAATTTTGTTTTGCTTTTTCAGCAATGATCTGTTATGGGCAATTAACCAGTAATTAATCCTTCGTACCACAGGTTGTGATGTATTGTCCATCTCTGCAAAGCTCTGAAAATAACCATACTTGATTTAAAAAGGACGCACACCCATGCAGCTTGGGTTATTAGGCATGAAGAGATCCTTCAGGTAAGATCTACTGCCTGCATAAACTGGAGGTCAGGTGAGTGGTCGCTGCATCAGACAGTGCTTTGTGTTCCCATTAAGAAATGCTCGCTCCGCTCTCAGGGTAGCAAACTCGGCAGCCTTCCTGCTCATGGCCTACAAAACACCTCCGGGGGAAACCCCAACCCTTTGGGGCTGATTTGGGTTGAGGTGCTATCTAAGTACGGACGACACCCAACTGTCCACCTTCTGTAGGATCTGCAGGCAGCTGTCTCTGAACTCCTGGTGCCTGGGTTCATAAAAAACCTCACAGTAAAAAGCTCCTCACACTGAGATGCCACGGAAACAACTTTTAGGAAACAGATGGGGTTATTACAGCTTTTTCACTGAGAAAGTAACTGTGACTTCTTGCTTCAGCAAGTCGCTTCATCTGCTGCCTGCTACTGGGATCTTGCCCCAGGGATCTGCCTGGGATCCCATCCTAGGATCCCCCAGCCACAGAAGGTGACCTCAGAGAATTAGGCTGAGGGAAGAAGGAGTCCTCCACACCTCACAGATAATTCCTCTCCCAAATTCACTCTTTCAGGACGAACTAGCTAGTTTCTTCAGGAAAGTAGGTTAGTGTCTTTAGGTGAGGTGAGTGGATGTGAGCACCAATCCCACAGGCACCTCCCAGCTCACTCAGAACATCCCATCCACACGTCTTCTCCTTCATCCTGCTGAGGGAAGTGGGTGCTGCCAAGGAAGCTTTTGGCTCTGCGTCCTGAGGCTGGGGTCTGGAAGGTGGGCTCCTAAGGACCATGTGCTTAGTGAGGGGCCTTGGCTACAGAATTTGCTTCATCCCAGGGTCTGCTAATATTTAAATGTTTGGTGGTTTTTAAGGACTCAGTGCAAGCTTTTGTCCATGCTGTCTGTTTTAACCTGGGCCTTTGGCCAGAAAGCATTAATCCCGTCAATGTGCAGGAGTGGGGAAGGCTGGGGAGTGTTTGATTTGTGCCAGTCGCTGGCATCAGCTTATTTTAAGCTGCTGGAATGAACCCACTTATGACCGAATGCTGCAATGTAAATTCTGCAAATAAAACAGATAAAATAATCTCAATTACTTGAGCTCAGTGTTGGTTTGCATATGACACTCCAGAGATTTAGAAGGTATTATATCATATAAAAATTGAATTATATTTAATTGAAGACTCTACAGATATTTTTCTGTTCAACAGGTGGGAAAAAAATGTGTTTTTCAAACTTTCAGTCACTTCCAGTAAGCGATGCCTGCACACAGCATACATAGGATAGTAAAATCTCAGTGTTATGTTCCAAACATAATAGAAACATCCCATCTTAAGTAAACTATTGCAGTACAAAACATCTGCAGAGTGAACTAAAGCAATAAATCTTGTCAAAAATTTAAGGGAGGAAAAAGGCCTGTCCAAGTGTGGTGCGTGTGTGTGTGTGTGTGTGTGTGTACATATATATATATATATGTGCACATACATTCACACACATGCTGCCACATGGTCTCTGCTACACCTAGTATTCCTATCAACAGATCTCAAGCCTCAAAACTGTGATTGGCAACTCTTTATTCTCTAAAAACAGCAAAAGTTTTGAGAAAGCTGATCAAGAGCAAGGTTTCAGAGATACTAACAGAAGATGAATTAGAGCCTGCTAAAGTACAGTTTGAATTGTATATTTGCATATCTTAATACTTTCTGTCCTCCTGGATGTATTTTTCTCTGTCTTCCTCTGGCACAACCCCAGCTACATCCTACAGCATTAGGATGTTCTGTTAAGCACATGTGCAACGGTGTATTTAAGCCTTGTAAAGGCTTTTTAATGGTCAAAAGATGTACCATTACAAAGGTCTCACAGGTTAGACTCCACGAATTTATTTTTACAGGTGAAGTAACTTTGATAATCTTTCTAGATGTAAATGCATAGAAACTACATAGAAGGAAACAGCTTGAATATAAGGATTTAAAAAAATCTTTTTGAAATATTAAGAAATAAGTCAGATGCTAGGCTTGTCCTTTTACTCCAGACACACAGAGAAAAAAATAAATGGGAGAATGTGAGACTAACCATCCCATCTGCCTTTGTAAGTTGCCCAGACCAGACGCAGAAATGCTATGGAAGTTAATGCAATGAACCCCAGAAGTGTCACTTTCACAAATCTCAAGAGGCATCCTTGACCTGAGGCTGGCTGCAGTTTCTGCCCCAATTCCAGTTTAATGTATTCCAGTTTGACCCTCAAGCGACAGTGCTGTTGGAGAACACGCTAAGAAACGAATGCAGGCAATCACTTTGACATAATTCCTTTGGACGCAGGGAGATCGAATGTGCTGATGTCAACAGAGACCAGAAGAGAGTTTTACCCAGTCTCCTTTCCTCACTGAAGAAAACCATAAAAGAAAACAAAGCACAATGCAAAGCCTAGCCAAACACATGCCCACCTCTCAGCAGTAAAACTAATACATGATGTCTATGAAAGGAATAACCAACACAAATGCTTCTAAAGTATCATTTGGATGTATGCACACCATTTCATTTATAGTTTAAATTTACATGACTTGTATATATAATTGACTCTTTGCACATAACATGCATGAAACGTGTCCAGTTCTGGAGCTCCCAACACAAGAAAGACATGGACCTGTTAGAACGAGTCCAGAGGAGGCCACGAGGATGATCCAAAGGCTGGAGCACCTCTCCTATGAGGACAGGCTGATAGAGCTGGGGCTGTTCAGCCTGGAGAAGGATCCAGGGAGACCTTATAGCGGTCTTCCAGTACCTGAAGGGGCCTACAAGAAAGCTGGGGAGGGACTTTTTACAAGGGCAGGGGGTGATAGAACAAGGGGTAATGGCTTTAAACTGGGATAGGGTAGGTTTAGGTTAGATATTAGGAATAAATTATTCACTGTAAGGGCGGTCAGACACTGGAACAGGTTGCCCAGAGAAGTTGTGGGTGCCACATCCCTGGAAGTGTTTAAGGCCAGGTTGGATGAGGCTTTGAGCAACCTGGTCTAGTGGAAGGTGTCCCTGCTGATGGCAGGGGGGTTGGAACTAGAGGATCTTTAGCGTCCCTTCCAACCTGAACCGTTCTGTGATTCTATGAAACATCTGTTCCACAGAAGATATTAATCTAAAGCTCCAGACACAGTGTAATTCAGTCCTTTATGGCCACAGTACATTCAAAAGAGTTACTAGCATACTTCCCTCACCTTAAAACAAACTGCTCTTCTTCTCTTTCTCCCATTCTTCTAAAATTTAGGGGACTATATAGATCTGCTTTCAATATGATTGACAGGATGAAACCTTCCTGCTCTGCCACTGATTTAGCTTAATTCCAAGCTTAGCAACTTTGAGGCTGCATAGTTCGATGTCAGAGAACACTGAGGCAACACTGATTTTTCTGCACAGGGCTGGCAAGAATAGAAACTGGGGATATTTTTTCCAAGGGAAAGATGAATTGTGGTAGAAAACCAGGTCAAGGAAGCCACGATTACTATCATGAGAATAAAAGATTAAGTGAAAGATTTTCTTCTCTACCTGGTCGCTGTTGCTCCTGAAATAACTTACGTATAAAAGGAAAAGATTAAAAAACACACACATTAATGGTACAGTTTTTCAGAACTCATAAGGGAAAATACCAGAGTTGAACATGGCTCATCCCTCAACTTTATACTATGAAAACAGAACAAAAAAACAGATCTCAAGCTCATTCCATCCTTCCTCTTTTACCTCCTTTCCTAAGACAGGCTTCTGCCCCTGCTACTTGCAATTTTTCTTTCCTTCCATTCCTCCAGCTCCACATCAGTCCAGGCAGACAGATTGTCTGCAATGGTATAACGGAAAAACCAGATGAGATCCTCAAGACTTCCCCTTTCTGTGTGCCTAGAGTGCTTCAAAGAAGAGAAAGTTTTGTGAAGAAATGGATTCTCACTTCCCTTTTCTGCAGCTACTTGTGTGGGTCATTATATCACAATAAAAGTCCACATGTGCTATCTGACCACAATGAAGAGACAGATAAAAATTGCCATTTTGAATGTGCATAATAAGCATGATCTCTGAAAGAAGAGTGATCATATGCTACAGCCACTGGAACTACTTGATCTAGAACACCAACCCCCCCCTACACAAAAGAAAAACAGACTTTTGTCCTTCATCTACCATCCTTTATGTGACCTGCTCTCAGAATGTGGCCACAAAGTGTGGTCCACAGTTTGGCTGATCATCAGAGGCTGCAGGATCTTTTCAGCTATGTTGGGACCTGTGTAAATGTTGTGATGTTCAGGGAATAAGGGTTTTAAGATCACCAGTCATCAGGAATTATCAAACACTTTAGTCCCTGGAGCATGTGGTGACCTGCTCCTTGTGTAACCACCCAGAAAAAAAACTTTGGAATCATTGCTCTAGAGAGTCAGAGGACAAAGGCTGATCAAATATACAATTAAATGTCCTAAGGAATTCCTTTAGTTTCTCATGCTGTCATGTTA